TGCATGCAATGAGCCGTGATAGCTCCACTGCACTCCAGCCTGGGGACAGAATGAGAACCTGTCTCCAAATGAAAGAAAAAATAAGAGGAAAGTAACTGAATAAAGGCTCTGTCTATGGAATATGGCTACTCCATAGACAGAGCAGCCCTAAGGGAACTGGCTGACTGTTTTCATGGTTATTTGTTTTTTTGTTTTATATGGAGTCTTGCTCTGTTACCCAGGCTGGAGTGCAATGGTGCAATTCGCGCTCACTGCACACTCCACCTCCTGAGTTCAAAGGATTCTCTTGCCTCAGCCTCCTGAGTAGCTGGGATTACAAGTGTGTGCCACCACACCTGGCTAATTTTTCTATTTTAGTAAAGATGAGGTTTCTCCATGTTGGCCAGGCTGGTCTCAAACTCCTGACCTCAAGTGATCTGCCTGCCTCATCCTCCCAAAGTGCTGGGATTGCAGGCATGAGCCACCACACCTTTGACCTTTCTTGGTAATTTATTGATCATATGCTAAACGAAGGGCGGACTATCATTAGTTTACTGGGAAAGAGGTGGGGATTTCCTAAAACTCAAGTTTCCTTGTCCTTTTAGACCATAGAGGGTAACTTCTAGACATTGCCAACATTGCCATGGCATTTGTAAACTGTCATGGTGCTGGTAGGAGTGTCTTTTAGCATGCTAATGCATTCTAATTAGCATAGAATGAATAATGAGGATGACTAGGGGTCACTGTCATCGCCATCTGGGTTTTGATGGATTTTGGCTGGCTTCTTTATCACATTCTGTTTTATCAGTGAGGTCTTCGGTACCTGTAGCTTGTCCCAACTTCCTATCTAATCCTGTGACTAAGGATGTCTAACCCATGGGGCAAGGTGGCTCACACCTGTAATCCCAACACTTTGGGAACCTGAGGTGGGTGGATCACTTGAGGTCAGGAGTTCAAGACCACCCTGACCAACATGGTCAAACCCCATCTCTACTAAATATATAAAAAATTATCTGGGTGTGGTGGTGAGCACCTGTAGTCCCAGCTACTTGGGAGGTTGAGGCAGGAGAATCACCCAAACCCAGCAGGCAGAGGTTGCAATAAGCCAAGATTGTGCCACTGCACTCTAGCCTGGATGACAGAGCTAGACTCCATCTCATTAAAATATATATATATATATATATATCTAACCTCCTGGGAATACAGCCCAGCAGGTCTCAGCCTCATTTTACCTGGCTGCCATTCAAGATGGAATTGCTCTGGTTCCAGTGCCTCTGACCACTCTGAATCTTGCTGAACTTCTATGAAATGTGGGTCTGCCAGAATTCTCTACTCATAGACACTACAATGAATGACAAGCATGCATATTGTGGGTATCTTCTCTTCCCATGTGCATTCTCCGTTGTCCCAACAGACTTAATTGACAAAACATGAGTTCAAAGATAAGAATTTCTTTTTCTTCTTTTTTTTTTTTTGAGATGGAGTTTCACTCTGTTGCCCAGGCCGGAGTGCAGTGGTGCAATCTCGGCTCATTGCAATCTCTGCCTCCCAGGTCTAAGTGATTCTCCTGCCTCAGCCTCCCAAGTAGCTGGGATTACAGGTGCTCACCACCATGCCTGGCTAATTTTTGTATTTTTAGTAGAGATCTTTTCACCATGTTGGCCATGGATGGTCTCGAACTCCTGACCTCATGATCTGCCCGACTCAGCCTCCCAAAGTGTTAGGATTACAGGCGTGAGTCAACTCGCCTGGCCTAAGGATTTCTTTTGAAGGTAAGAATTTCAGGCCGGGTGCGGTGGCTCATTCCTGTAATCCCAGCACTTTAGGAGGCCGAGGTGGGCAAATCACAAGGTCAGGAGTTCGAGACCAGTCTAGCCAATATGGTGAAACCCTGTCTCTACTAAAAATACAAAAATTAGCTAGGCATGGTGGCATGTGCCTGTAATCCCAACTACTCAGGAGGCTGAGACAGGAGAATCACTTGAACCCAGGAGGCGGAGGTTGTAGTGAGCCAAGATCGTGCCATTGCACTCCAGCCTAGGTGACAGAGCGCAACCTTGCCTCAAAACAAAAAAGAAAGTAAGAATTTCAAGACGGCAACAGCACATTAACCCAAGTGCAGGGCCCTTCTGAGTGCCAGGCCCTGTGCAGCTGCTCAGGTAACTCGCCCAGGAAGCTGGCCCTGCGTGGGAAATTGCGCTTTTGTGAAGGGCCTCAGATTCCTTTCATTTCCCCTGGAGAGTCAAAGAAGCATCGGAGACAGGAAGAAAAGGTTAGAGTTCTCTGGCTATGTTATCATATTCTTCTGAAATAATCCTAACCTTTTAGGGTAGAAACAGACATCTACCTTCCCAGTCTGGAGCTGGGAGTGCTGAAGGAAATGATTGGCAAGAGGAAAGGGAAGCCCGAGCAGGACACCGGCTTACTGACCGAAAGTTTCTGGAAATATTTGCAAGTCAGCATAGGCCCTCAGCCCACAGGAAACCCAGAAGTGACGATGAAGCCTGTTACAGTAAGGGGATGCTGAAGGAGGACAGATGCCAGAGGGACAGCAACACCTTATCTACTACCCGTTAGAGGATAGGGGCTTCTAGAGGGAAGGAGGGAACTTAGCAAATCTCTGTATTTTGTACTAAACAGTATCCTGGTGGAAGACACAATCAATATAATATAGGTTTGAATAACTGATTAACTTCATTTATCCAATTGAGGACTCAAAATGGGTTAGTTATCTTTGTTTGTTTGAGGCAGTCTTGCTGTCTCCCAGGCTGCAGTGGCAAGAATATAGCTCACTACAGCCTCGACCTCTTGGGCTCAAGCAGTCCTCCCACCTCAGTCTCCCAAGTAGCTGGGACTACAGGCAAGCACCATCATGTCTAGCTAATTTTTGTTTTGTAGAGATGGGGTTTTACTGTGTTGCCCAGGCTGGTCTTGAACTCCTGGGCTTAAGCCATCTGCCTGCCTTGGCCTCCCAAAGAGCTGGCATTGCAGGTGTGAGCCATCATGCCTGGCCTTGGTTATCTTTATATCTACTTTTACATCCTGTCCTAATCTTGAAAAACTTCCTCATATTTAGCATTATTGAGTGTATGAGATAAGACAATTAGTCAAAATTTCCTGGCAACTAATGTGAGAAAACAAAACCATAAATGGAAAGAAAAAAATTAACATTCAATAAAATTTTTTTCATTGACTCATTTGCAAAAAATTCTTAGAACAAGAAATAAACAGAAAAGCTACCTATCTGAGACAATCTACAATGCATTAATCATTCTTGATTTGGGAGAATATGTAAGTGTGACTGGCTGATTGAAGTATTCATATTGTTGGTGTCTAAACAAGAGCTGGCTTAGGGCCAGGCGCGGTGGCTCACTCCTGTAATCCCAGCACTTTGGGAGACCGAGGCAGGTGGATCACGAGGTCAGGAGATCCAGACCATCCTGGCCAACATGGAGAAACCCCTTCTCTACTAAAAATACAAAATTAGCCGGGTGTGGTGGCAGGTGCCTGTAATCTCAGCTACTTGGGAGGCTGAGGCAGGAGATCACTTGAACCTGGGAGATGAAGGTTGCAGTGAGCTGAGATCATGCCATTGCACTTCAGCCTGGGCAACAAGACCGAAACTCATCTCAAAAAAAAAACAAAAACAAAAATAAGAATAAACAGAATTTTATTCTTTTCTGGCTTAGTTTATTCCAGGACCTGCCCCCAACAGTCCCTCCCAATACTGGGTGACAGCTATCGTCACAACTTCTTTTTTTTTTTTTTTTGAGACAGAGTTTTGCCCTTGTTACCCAGGCTGGAGTGCAATGGCGCGATCTCAGCTTACCGCAACCTCTGCCTCCTGGGTTCAGGCAATTCTCCTGCCTCAGCCTCTTGAGTAGCTGGGATTACAGGTATGCGCCACCATAATTTTTTGTATTTTTATTAGAGACAGGGTTTCACCATGTTGACCAGGATGGTCTCGATCTCTTGACCTCGTGATCCACCCGCCTCGGCCTCCCAAAGAGCTGGGATTACAGGCTTGAGCCACCGCGCCTGGCCATCATAACTTCTAATTTAGATCCCATAACTTTTCATCCTCTCTTAATTATGAGAATTCTCTCATGCCAATATTTAAGATTTTGTTCCGTTCATTTAAGCTTTATTCTCACATATGAGACAAACTTCTCCTTACTTGACTGTGGGGCTGTCTTTTCTCTGTGCTTGCTGCTGCCCTGGCTAACCCTGCTTGGCCCTCAGCACCAGACTGTCATGGTGTCCTCTGTGTGGCATGAATTTAAATGCTGGCCACTTGGTGGAGTAATGGTCTGTTTTCACTCACAACACTTCTGACACCAGACGTATGGGGATTTTTTTCCCCCAACAGCTGACTAGTTTTCCAGCTCTCTGGACACCAGTTGAGTGTCCTACAATTGAATTCTTATACTAACCTGTCTCTCCTTATCTACAATAGATTGACTTATTTAAGCCAAATATACATTTAAAGTAGTTTCAGAATTGCTAAACCATACTTCTGTGAGATACAAATTTACCAACCAGAGTGCAGTTTTTTTTTTTGAGACAGAGTCTTACTCTGCCGCCCAGGCTGGAGTACAATGGCACAATCTCGGCTCACTGCAACCTCCGCCTCCCGGGTTCAAGCGATTCTCCAACTTCAGCCTTCCGAGTAGCTGGGATTACAGGAGCCCACCACCACACCCGGCTAATTTTGTATTTTTAGTAGAGATGGGATTTCACCATATTAGGCTGGTCTCGGACTCCTGACTTCGTGATCCGCCTGCCTCGGCCTCCCAAAGTCCTGGGATTACAGGTGTGAGCCACCGCGCCCCAGCAGAGTGCAATTTTTGTACACGGTTCTTTGTGTCCTTATCTACAGTTACAAGTCAAAACACTGTTTTCCAACTTTAATTGTCAGTTCTTTTTTTAACTCCATACCTTTCAGTGAGTTGATGTCATGCATTTATAGTACAACTAGATTCGTTAACCACAATTTACATACCATCCTGGGTTCCCTTTACGGTCTGTTCATTTTTAAAAATCTGCATACAACAAAAGCCTCTTTTTCTAGTGTATGTTTATTTATTTATTTATTTATTTATTTTTGAGACTGAGTCTCACTCTATTGCCCAGGCTGGAGTGCAGTGGCATGATCTCAGCTCACTGCAACCTCTGCCTCCTGAGTTCAAGCGATTCTCCTGCCTCAGTCTCCTGAGTAGTTGGGACTACAGGCGAATGCTACCATGACCAGCTTATTTTTGGAGTTTTAGTAAAGATGGGGTTTTACCATGTTGGCCAGGATGGTCTCGATCTCCTGACCTTGTGATCTACCCGCCCTGGCCTCCCAAAGTGCTGAGATTACAGGCATGAGCCACCACACCCAGCCATGTATATAGTTATTGTATTTGAAAATGGATATAGTCATGTATCCACCACACACAGTCTCATACAGAACAGCTCCAGCTCCATCAGCCTAAAAGTTCCCTTTGCAGCCCTTTGTAGCAAACTTCTCTCCTTTCCCCAAACCTGGTAACAACTGATCTGTTTTTCTTCCCTATAGTTTTGCTTTTTCCAGAATGCCATATGAATAGAATTGCACAACATGTAGACTTTTAGACCTAGCTTCTTTCACTTAGCAAAACGGATTTAAGATTTGTCCATATTATTGGGTGAACCAATAGTTCATTTATTTTTTTTTTAAGATGGGGTTTCACCATGTTGGTCAGGCTGGTCTTGAACTCCTGACCTCAGGTGATCCACCTGCCTTGGCCTCCAAAGTGCTTGGATTACAGGTGTGAGTCACTGCACCCGGTCAATAGTTCATTTTTTACTCTTGAGTATGGGTAAACTCAGGGAATATATATCAACAGTTTATCCAGTCACCTGTTGAAGGATATCTGGGTTATTTCTAGTTTTCAGTAATTATGAATGAAGCTGCTATAAATAGTCACGTGAGGATTTTTGGGTGAATGTAAGTTTTCAGTTCACTTGGGTCAATTTCTAGTAGTGGTGTGGCTGGGCCATATGATAAGTTATGCTTATAAGAAACTGCTGAACAGTTTTTCAGAGTGGCTCTGGCATGTCGCAATCCCATCAGCGACCAGTGAGAGTTCCTGTTCCTCTGCATCCTCAACCACATTTGGTTGCCCACACTTTTTTTTTTTTTTTAAGAGCGAGTCTTGCTCTGTCACCCAGCCTGGAGTGCAGTGGCATAATCTCAGCTCGCTGCAAACTCCACCTCCTACTTTCAAGGGATTCTCCTGCCTCAACCTCCTGAGTAGCTGGGATTATAGGCTCACACTACCAAGCTTGGCTAATTTTTATATTTGTAGTAGAGACGGGGTTTCTCCATGTTGGCCAGGCTGTTCTAGAACTCCTGGCATCAAGTGATCCGCCTGCCTTGGCCTACCAAAGTGCTGGGATTATAGGCACGAGCCACTGCCTGGCCTGCCCACACTCTTTAAAATGGAAATTGCCCACCCCACTCTATCCCAACTTCTTCCTTTCTTTTGACCTCTGCCTGGATTATACAATAATCTATACTCTTGCTTTGCAGCCTGTTGGTGTTAATGAAGGTAATAATCTTAGACTACTGTGCACTACTTCCCTGCTTTCCTCAGAGTTCTAGGAAGCAGTTTCAGCATGCATTCATAGGTTGGTACAGAAGATAACCACACTCTACTTGAGAAAAATTCCCTTCTGGAATTCCCAAACCTCTGCTTTTGTGTGGCCTCTTGGTTCCCGCTCATTTCAGCCTCTTTTTAGTCTAACCAAGTGAATCCACTGAAGCACTAGGGTTATTCACGGGTCTGCAGTGGACTCTGCAGTGGATAAAGATCCCACAGGATAGACTACTACATGTGGCTTTACAGCTGGGTACCTGGGTCTTAATGCATCAGGAAGGAGCTGAGTGCGAGGCCCCTGCTCAGAGTCCCTGCCCTCTAACTTGGCAATTAGCACATTCTCATAGTCATGGGAGTCCTCATTTGACATCTCTTCTCTAGGTTCCATCTCACTGTCCTCACTCTGTGTGAACGGCTGAAAGTCTCCATAATCCCCTGAAGCAAGGATTGTCCTTTTGACACATTGGACGTGGGTCCCTGGATCATCTGTCTTGTCCTCAACATGACATGTGTTTGAGGATGGCACATCTTTCTCAGCCTGTTGCTGGCTTCCACTGGGATCTGCTGCTGGAACATTTTCATAGTCTTTGCCGCACTGAAAAGCCACCCAGAGCTGCCTCTCCTGGATGGCACTGAGATCCAACCCTGTCATGTTGACATAGTCATTTGAGGTCTGAGAATAACCTTCTCCATCGCTGAGTGAATCACGTCCCTCAGTTCCTGGAGAATGAAACCTGGTATGGTCACCAGCATCCCCACAGCCCTCATCTCTTTCCTCACTAAACTCCTCCAGTTTCTGGGTACTGGGAAGAACACATATATTTCTGGGAAGGCTTTTGGTAGAAGCTGAAGTCTCAGCAATCTCTTCTGCTGTGGGGACATTGACATAATCATGGGAATCCTCTGAAGAAATGCTTGTGCAGTCTCTGGAAGCTCTGACATTGACGCAGTGTGCTGAGGGAGTGAGGTTCCCACACATCTGGGGCACCAGGGCGTTGTCATAGATACCCACCGCGTACTCTGTGGCATGGATATGGGCTCTATTTTCCGGGGGGAGATTGCCTGCTTGGGAGGGCTATGAGGAAGAAGAGGAAACCAGAGATCAGGTGCAAGCAGAAATATGGACAGAGTCTTCTTCCCGGCAGATACCACTGGCATAGTTCACTTGGTTCTCCACCTCGGAGAAAATGCCTAAGTCAGGGGTCCAAATCTGCACAGCTCTCCATGCCAGGCAGGTATAAGGGAAATGGGATGAGTTTAAGAAGAGCAACAGTGCAAATGTGATGATAAATTGCACCTGGTTTTTGGCCACAGAATGGGAATCAATGGGGGGTGGAAGGAAAGTATTATCAACCCTAGAGCCCATTGAGAGGCTGTACAACATAGTGGCTAAAGGTGAGGCTTAGACTCAGACTGAAGGCACCAATCCTAGCCTCCCCACCTTGTGCCAAGTGAGTATGAGCACCTGACCTAATCTCTTGGTGTCTTCATTTCCCAGTTTATAAAATGAGGATTATCATAATATTTACATCATAAGTTTGTTTTGGTTTTCAATTTTGAGAACGAATTTCACTCTTGTTGCCCAGGCTGGAGTGCGGTGGCATAATCTCAGCTCACTGCAACCTCTGCCTCCCATGTTCAATTAATTTTCCTGCTTCAGCCTCCTGAGTAGCTGGGATTACAGGTGCCTGCTACCACCACCCGGCTATTTTTTTTGTATTTTTAGTAGAGACAGGGTTTCACCATGTTGGCCAGGCTGGTCTCAAACTCCTGACCTCAGGTGATTCTCCTGCCTCAGCTTCCCAAAGTGCTGGGATTACAGACATGAGCCACTGCGCCTGGCCACAGCATAAGATTTTGTGAGGAGTAAATGGATTACTTTGTATAAATGGTTTAGAATAGCTCCTGGCACATAGAAAACACTGAAAATTGCTTGCTTCTTTATTTTTAAGAGTGCAACAGCATGATCTTGGCTCACTGCAACCCCCGCCTCCCAGATTCAAGAGATTCTCCTGTCTCAGCCTCCCAAGTAGCTGGGATTACAGGTGCCCGATGCCATGCCCGGCTAATTTTTGTGTTTTTAATAGAGATGGAGTTTCACCATGCTAGGCAGGGTGGTCTCGAATGCCTGACCTCAGTTGATCCACCAACCTTAGCCTCCCAAAGTGCTGAGATTACAGGCATGAGCCACTGTGCCTGGCAGAAAAATCCTTGCCATTTTATTAGAGGGAGAGGTGATACAAAGACTCAGCTGATCGTAGCCATTCAGGAATGCTGGTCTGATGTTTCCAGAAATTCTGAATTTTCAAGAAAAGCTGGAAATCTGGACTTTCAGATGTCTTAAAATGTCTTCATTAAAAAAAATTTTTTTTGAGACAGAATCTCTCTTTGTTGCCCAGACTGCAGTCTCCATCCCCCGGGCTCAAGTGATCCTCTTGCCTCAGCCTCCTAAATAGCTGAGACTACAGATGTGTACCACCAGGCTCAGCTAATTTTTTTTATTTTTAGTAGAGACAAGGTCCTGCTAAGTTGTCCAGGCTGGTCTCAAACTCCTGGGCTCAAGCCATGCTCCTCTCTCAGCCTCCCAAAGTGCTGGGATTATAGACATGAGCCACTGCACCTGGTCTCCATTTTTAAATGTTGGCAATTGATTCAAAATATTCTCTTTTTCTGAGACGGAGTTTTGCTCTTGTTGCCCAGTCTGGACTGCAATGGCGTGATCTCGGCTCACTGCAACCTCTGCCTCCTGGATTCAAGCAATTCTCCTGCCTCAGCCTCCCAAGTAGCTGGGATTACAGGCACACACCACCATGCCCAGCTAATTTTTTTGTATTTTTAATAGAGACGAGGTTTCTCCATGTTGGTCAAGCTGGTCTCGAACTCCTGACCTCAAGTGATGCACCCTCCTCGGCCTCCCAAAGTGCTGGGATTACTTGCATGAGCCACGGCGCCCGGCCCAAAATATTCTTAAAACACTAGAGTCCAAGCCAAGTACATTTGTGAATTTAAGACAATTTGGTACCTAAACTCCCTTTGGGAGGCCAAGATGGGCAGATTGCTTGAGCTCAGGAGTTTGAAACCAGCCTGAGCAACATGGTAAAATCCCATCTGGGGCTGTGGCCCCAGCTACTTGGGGGGCTAAGGTGGGAGAATCGCCTGAGCCCAGGAAGCAGAGGTTGTAGTGAGTCGTGATCATGCCACTGTACTCCAGCTTGGGTAACAAAGTGAGACCCAGTCTCAAAAAAAACCTATATTTATATATAGTTATATATACACACACACACACCAGTCACTTTCAGTTCTGACATTATGCACTTGAATGTCTGTTCCCTGGCACCCTTTTTAAAACAGGCACTTGCCTCTGTCCTTAATTTTTCCTTTTGGGTATAGGGAGGTCCTGAGGCTAGTCTTCCCAATTTATTCATAGGACTTCAGGCAAGTGCCCAAAGGCATGCTGTTTGTTTGGAGTGAAACCAGATCCAAGCCCTATAACTCTGTCCCCTCAGTTCTTCTGCCAGAAACATGTCATTCTCCCAAGAAGCTTGACTCTTACCACATGCTCAGGGCTCTCAGAATTTCTGGAGAGGAGGCTCTCAGTACTGAAAATGCGGATACTCCTTGACTGATGTCTCCCTGAAAGGACAGAGAACAGATCCTGAAGAGAGCCAGTCCTCTGGGTGCTTCAGCCCAAGTAACCCCTGCATCATGGATGAACTGAGTTTCATGGTGTCTGGAATTTCCAGCCTTGGGTCTGGGGTTCTGCAGTGTTCTGAGGTCAGAGCTATGGGGAGGACACTCTGAGGCACCTGTCAGCTTCTGTGGCACTGGAGGATGCTAGCACAGAGGTTGGGAGGCTGAGAAACAAGCCCCAATGGGAGAACCTCCTCCCCAGCCCATCCTCTGCCTGTGATGCTGTCACTGAAATTCTCCTCCTTTTCGTCTTTCCCATGCCTGGACACACTTGGCTTTCTTCTGTTGCCTTAACATTAAGAAAAAAAAACAGGCTGGGAACAGTGGCTCATGCCTGTAATCCCAGCACTTTTGGAAGCTGAGGCGGATGGATCAAGAGGTCAGAAGTTCAAGGCCAGTCTGGCCAACATAATGAAACCCTGTCTCTACTAAAAATACAAAACATTAGCCGGGTGTGGTGGTGTGCACCCGTAATGCAGCTAGTCAGGAGGCTGAGGCAGGAGAATCATGTGAACCTGGGAGGTGGAGGTTGCAGTGAGCTAAGATCGTATTGGATTCCAGCCCCAGCAACAATACAAGACTTCATTAAAAAAAAAAAAAAAAACAAACAAAAAAACAACTCCCAGCCCAGATGACCCTCCGCTCCTTTTCTGGAGCCCTCCAGGCACCCCTGGAGTTGCAGCTGACGGTCTGTTTATCCCAGTCTCCCTGATGCTCTCTGAAGGGCAAACAGGTTTGAGAGCTTAGAGGAAGTTGCTTCTGGAGAGTGAGAGGCACATTCTGGGAGCGGAAGTCTGAACATCTGGATTCCGTGGATTAGAAGGAAAAACCTACCCAGTTCTTCTTGTTGCCAAGGCAAGATGTCATAAATATTTTTGGCTCTTTGTCTGGTTTGTGGCAGAGTCAGCAAGGGCATGACGGTAACTCGGAGGTAAGGAACTTGCCCTGCAAAGCAATGAGAGAGATGGGCGTCGTGGCGGGGTCAGCTGCACAGAGTGTAGGGACTCATGGGAACGAGATGGCCCCTGAAAATGCTCCCCATCCTCGCCAGTGCTCACAAAAATACACTTGCACACTTGAGCTACAGAAATTTTCATTTGAGTGAGAGGAGTAGGGGACTCGATGGGCAGAGCATAAAGAGGAAACTGGCCTCAGGGCCACCCGGGCAATGTCCTTCCCAGGGGAACCGCATCAGTGCTGGGCCTTTGGGGCCACAGTTCAGGATCTTGAATGAGACAATGGCCAGTGTATCAGGTAAGAACCGAGGACTCCCCAGGCCAATAGTTTATTCCTGGAAAATAAGCTGGGCTTTAATTACCAGGCTAGATAATTAATCCTACTGTGTCTCAACTCAGGACAAACAAGGGACTCACGCTTCTTCCGCTTATTCCAGTTCCACAGAATGCAGAAAACCGCAACGACCAGGAGGATGGCGAGGAGTCCCAGGAACCCAGAAAAGATGCTGCTGATCTGGTCTTTATTTCTAGAAAATCAATCACATGCCATGTGCTAGCTGTAGGAGGGTGGGGAGGCTGGAGGAGACATTTCCTTCAAGAGTTAGAGCCTGAAGATTTGGAATGGAAGCTGAGTGAGGGAAAGCCGAGGTGGGGTGTGGTGGAAAAGAGGGCTATCTCTGGATATGGACTTTATGGAGAGAGGGGAAGGGAACTGCTCCTTTCAAACACCTACTGAGCTTCAGGGGTTTGCATGTGAGACTTATTTAATCTTTATAGCAATCCTATCTCACTTTGCGGCCAAGTAACCTGAGATTTAGACTCAGGGGAGTAAAGGAACATGTCAGAGATTACCCAAGTAGGAAGGAGCAGAGGAGGAATGTGATCTAGGTTTGTTTGTGTTCAAAGGCCAGCTCTTTTCACTCTGCCACAGTGTCCTCCAAACCTGCAAAGTCAAATTCATCTGTCCTCTCCCCTTCTTGTTCCCTACTCATGAGCTTCCTGGCTTGCTTGGAGGAGAGAATTAGCCAACTTACAATTAGGGAGTGGCTCTGTGACAGAGTCCAACTTGCATGAACTTGAATAACCCCCGCAGCACCCATTTGTGGAGTGGAGCTGGTCTCTAAGCTGCTGTTGTGTGGAGTTTTTTCTTTTCTTTTTAGAGAGTCTTGCTCTGGCACCCAGGCTGGAGTGCAGTGGTATGATCTTGGTTCACTGCAACCTCTGCCTCCGGGTTCAAGTGATTCTTCTGCCTCAGCCTCCTGAGTAGCTGGGACTACAGGTGCATGCCACCACACCCAGCTATTTTTTTTTTTTTCTTTTTTGTGAGACAGAGTTTTGCTCTTGTTGCCCAGACTGGAGTGCAATGGCGTGATCTCACCTCACTGCAACCTCCGCCTCCTGGGTTCAAGTGATTCTCCTGCCTCAGCCTCCCAAGTAGCTAGGATTACAGGCATGTGCCACCATGCCTGGCTAATTTTTGTATTTTTAGTAGAGACAAGGTTTCTTCATGTTGGTCAGGCTGGTCTTGAACTCCCAACTTCAGGTAATCTGCCTGCCTTAGTATCCCAAAGTGCCAGGAGTATAGGCATGAGCCACCACACTCAGCCTAAATTTTTGTATTTTTAGTAGAGACAGGGTTCACCATGTTGGCCAGGTTGGTCTCAAACTCCTGACCTCGTGATCCACCTGCCTCAGCCTCCCAGTGTGCTGGGATTACAGGGTTTGAGCCACCGCTCCCGCCTAGCCAACTTTCTCTGCCTAACAGACATCTCAAACCAAAGCAGAGTTGCTGTTCTCCCCACATAAACCTGCTACTCCCCTGATGTTTCCCATCATCTAGTGGCTTAGTCAAAAACCTTGGAGCCAGGTTGGGCACGGCAGCTCACACCTGTAATCCCAGTACTTTTGGAGGCCAAGGCGGGCAGATCATGAGGTCAGGAGTTTGAGACCAGCCTGACCAACATAGTGAAACTGCGTCTCTACTAAAAATACAAAAATTAGCTGGGCCAGGTGGCGTGTGCCTGTTATCCCAGCTACTCAGGAGGCTGAGGCCGGAGAATCACTTGAACCAGGGAGTCAGAGGTTGTGGTGAGCTGAGATTGCACCACTGCACTCCAGCCTGAGCAACAGAGAAAGACTCCATCTCAAAAAAAAAAACAACAAAAAACAAAAAACCCAAAAATACCCTTGGAGCTCATGCCCCACTTCCAGTCAACCAGCAGATTCTATCTGCCTTACCCTGGGCATTTATTCCAAATCCAACCACCCTTTCCTCCTCTGCTGTCCCCACTTGGGTTTAAGCCACTGTGTGTTTCACATGAACCTTTGCAAGAACCTTCCTGGTGGGTCTCCTTTCTTTAACTCTCGGCTACATACTACCTTCACACAAAAGCCAGTGTGATGATTCTAAACAGTCAGTCAGATCACATCCCTCCTCTACTCCTCACTCTCCCTGGCTTCGAGTGACTTAGAATAAAGTTTGTAGTCCTTCCTCAGTGAGGACTTTATGGCACGATGTGATCTGGCCTCTGCCTATCTCTGACCTTACTTCCTACCACTTTCCCTCTGACTTTGCCTGCCAGGAAAAGCACGGTTCTGTGTCAGACCTGCCACTCCCTCTCCCAGGAACCCTCTTCTCCCAGCTGTCTGCATGGCTGAGTCCCTCATTTCATTTAGGTCTCTTCTGAAATGTCAAATGTCATCTCCTCACGCGGGTCTTCTATGGCCACACCCTATTGCTTATAGTCCCCTTGCTGCGCTCCACCTTTTCTTCATGGCACTGATGATTGATTGATATTATACGTTCATTTGCTTGTCTGTTTATCTTTTTTTTTTTTTTTTTTTTGAGATGGATTTTCCCTCTTATTGCCCAAGCTGGAGTGCAATGGTGTAATTTCAGCTCACCGCAACCTCTGCCTCCCTGGTTCAAGCAATTCTCCTGCCTCAGCCTCCCAAGTAGCTGGGATTACAGGCACCTGCCACCATGCCCGGCTAATTTTTTGTATTTTTAATAGAAACAGGGTTTCACTATGTTAGCCAGACTAGTCTTGAACTCCTAACTTCAGGTGATGTGCCCGCCTCGGCCTCCCAAAGTGCTGGGATTACAGGTGTGAGCCACCACACCTGGCCGTTTATCATTTTTTTTTAACTAAAGAAAAAAAAAACTTTAAGACAGTCTCCATGTGTTGCCCAGACTGGTAACTGCTGGGCTCAAGTTATCCTCCTGCCTCGGCCTCCCAAAGTGCTTGGATGATGGGTGTGAGCCACCATGCTCAGCCTTGTTTATCATTTGACTCTCCAACTTGACTATAAGCTTCAGGAGGTTATGGACTCCTTTATCCTGTTTAACTAGTGCCTTAAACAGGGCTTGGTATTTAGTAAGGCCCTGATGAATATTTGTTAAATGAATGAGTGACTGAATTAATAAAAGAATTAATATAGAAATAGTTTTGAGTGTAGTACAGCCATTATGGAAAAACTATGGAGGTTCTTCAGAAAATTAAAAATAAAATTACCAAAGCTGGGTGCAGTGGCTAGCACCTGTAATCCCAGCGCTTTGGGAGGCCAAGGTGAGTGGATCACTTGAGGTCAGAGTTCAAGACCAATCTGGCCAACATGATGAAACCCCATCTCTACTAAAATTGCAAAAAAAAAAAAAATTAGCTGGGCATGGTGGTACATGCCCATAATCCCAGCTACTCAGGAGGCTGAGACAGGAGAATTGCTTGAACCCGGGAGGTGGAGGTTGCAGTGAGCCAAGATCATGCCATTGCACTCCAGCCTGGGCAGCAGAGCGAGACTGTGTCTCAAAACAACAACAACAACAACAACAACAACAACTACCATATGATCCAGTGATCTCACTAGTGGGGATATATCTGAAGGAAATGAAATCGGTATTTGAAAAGCATGCCTACACTCCATACTTATTTCACTATAGTCAAAATGTGGACTCAACCTACATATCCATCAATAGATGAAAAAAAAGTGAATACTAATCAGCCTTTAAAAAAGAAGGGAATCCTGTCATTTTTGACAACATGAATGAAACTAGAGGTTGTTATGTTAAATGAAATAAGCCAGGTACAAAAAGATAAATACCAGAGGATCTCACTCACATGTGGAGTGGACAGCTGAACTCATAGAAATGGAGGAATGCTGGTTACCAGGGAGGGGTTGCAGAGATGTTGGTCAAAGGATTCAGAATTTCACTTAGAGAAAGAGTAAGTTCAGGAGATCTGTTGTGTAACATGGTGACTATAGTTAATAAAAATGTCATATTCTTGAGAATTACTGAGAAAGTTTTAGTATTCTCACCACAAAAATATTGTGAAGTAATGTGTATTTTCATTGGTTTAATTTAGCTGTTGCACAATGTATACATATTTCAAAACAATAGGGTATCATGATAAATATATATAATTTTGATTTGCTAATTAGAAAGAAAGAAAGAAATACTTTTGGAGGGATGCTTCAGGCTTCTGAGTTTTGTGAATTCATTGCTCATCAATGCTTGTATCTACCTGCAAGTGACATGTGTTTGCCAGGCTAATAACATTTATTTCCCAAAACTACTGCAATTTTATTTTATTTTATTTTTTGAGACAGAGTTTTTGTATTGTCACCAAGGCTGGAGTGCAATGGCATGATCTCGGCTCACTGCAACCACTACCTCCAGGGTTCAAGTGATTTTTCTGCCTCAGCTTCCCAAGTATCTGGGACTGTCGGCAGATGCCACCACGCCTGGCTAATTTTTGTGTTTTCAGTAGAGATGGGGTTTCACCATGTCGGCCAGGCTGGTCTCAAACTCCTGACCTCAGGTGATCCGCCCACGTTGGCCTCCCAAAGTGCTGGGATTACAGGCGTGAGCCACTATGCCCGGCCTCAAAATGACTGCAATTTAAAAATTGTCATTGGGTTATATTTTTATTATAATACTGAAATTTATAGCTATCAATGTTTTTAAAGTTTCAACTGCTGATGGATTTTTAGTTTTGTTTGTATGAGATTGAAAGGATTAGCAGTAATTTATACCCACGATTAGTTAGTTCTGTAAGAATTTATGTCCTAAAGACATATCTTTATTACATCTATCACTACACTTTTTTACTCATGGCAAGTTTTCGGATCTCAAAACACATCCTTGGAAAACTCAGTTTTTTGTTTCTGTCATGGGGACATCTAGGAAAGATTGACACCAGGGTTCAGGGCCTCTGAGAGGTGAGAAATCCAACTAAAGCTAGTCCAGGTTTTCAGGACCAGTGTTATCACAGTTTTTCTTCAACCACAATATCCTCTTTGTTTCCTCAATACCTGCCTTTCCCCCTAGCACCCCTGAAGAAAAGCCTCCAATCCTAGAGTTTAGTGGTCAGCCTGGGTGCTGAGAGGTGGCATCACTGCTGTATAAGAAGCTCTTAGGAGTGGACTAAGACCTTCTGCCTCAATCAGGGGAGGGTGGAGCTCACCACCCTGAGTCACTTACCTGTCTGGGCTGCTGGGAGTCACATGCAGAGTGTTGAACTCCAAGATCCTCTCTCCGATTGTCGGAAGGGTTGTGGTGACACCATCCATTGTCTCAGGAACCTTTCAGATGCTCTCTGGATTCAGCTTCTAAGTTTCTTTGAATCATAATCAGTTACCCAGCATGTCTATCACCTCCACCACCCCCAACAAACTTCCTATCTTGTGTCTACCTCTGAAGTGTCAGGCTGAGTTGACCCAAAATACATAAGCTCAGGTTTGGTTCTACCTGGATGTGGCTAATGCCCACTGCAGGAGTGCAATCTCATCCGGACGTGGTGCCTCCGAGTGAGGTGGCTCAGAGAGAATCTATGGCCTCTGCCTTCTGGTGGAAACATAAGGGGCACGGAGGGGGAAACTGCCAAGAGGCTCAAGAGAGGCTCCGTGAGAAGCTCATCTTCCTTCAACACCCAAAGCAAAGTGAAAAGAGCAAACCACTTTGCCAGAATGGAAACAGAGAGTCAGTCACCGGAAACAGCACCACCAATGTGCTAATGAAATGCAGGGCACAGGAAACGCTGCTCAGTTCTTAATCTGCTAGAAGAAAACATATCTTCCCTGGGTTTGCCAGGTGCTCTGTGGTCTATGATGAGTGTGATTAAAAATGGGGCAGGGTGGTAGAGAACTTGTGATTCTTTACCCTGGGGTTCTGAGACATTTAGAGTTTTACAAGTCTTCGAATTTATAGTGTTTTCTAAGCAAGTCTAAGGAGCACTGGAGGTTGCCTTTTAGAGACAGACAAATGCAGATCTCTGGGACCCTCCTCTGATTCAGTAAGTGGAGGGCAGGCTTTGGACATCGATGCTCTCCAGGTGATTTTGACAGAGCTGGTCTGTATGTCAAGTTTCGGGAATCTCTGCTCTGGGCACTACCTTAAGAATGGATACTATGCTGGGTTAGCAGGGCCTCTGCTCCCCTAAGGTGACCTTCCACAGCTCCTGGCTTCTGGGAATCTCCTGTTCTCAGGGTTCTTTTGAAGATCAGTCATAGTCCTACTTGTCACACACCTGTCACAGAAGCTGGATAGTTCATCCCTGAGAGCTACCCAAAATCTTCCAAACTGTGAGGATTGGTCGAAATCTGTTGCTAGCTCCCCTCCCTTCTTGAGCCTACTAATTTCTAGAAACACTCTTTGCATCTTGGGAGAGTCCAAAGAGAAAGGGCCACTAAGACTGTTGTGAGGATGTGAAGAAGAACCTCTCTGATTGCACTTTCCGCAAGGAAATGGATTCCCAGATAATGAATCGGGGGGAAGACCAGCAGCACTCATGCTTCCCTCCCATCTCTTCCCAGTGGACACTGAGGTCCTCAGCTTTCCTGAGCTGGCAACCCCTGGCCTGTCTGGGTCTAGACTCTCACAGAGTCCCCAGGGGCTGCAGACTAGCCCTGACCGGCTTTCCAAGGAGCTGTATCATTCCAGGTCCCGGACTCCTTCCCTCCCAGGAGCTTCACCTTGCAGGAAGCAGAAATGGCTCAGAGGCAGCTGATTCTGGAGCTGGAACCCGGGTCTCTGCCCACTTCTTTGGATCAGGTCTGGGTAGGAACTAGGACTACTCACAAGATTTATCATGCTGATGGGACTGTGTGTGAACCAGGAACTTGGAAAGCAGTACAAGGGAAGGGTGCATGGAACCAAACCTCAGAACCATGACTGCTACTTAAAAAGAGAAAAGTTTTTTTGAAAGAACTTTTCCATTGCATGTGATCATTTCAGGGCCTCACTTATCTTATCTTTCCTCTGACTGTCTGATTCTCTCCTGCCCCCACATCCGAGGGAAATCACCACCTCAGAGGTAGCTGCCTGTTACCTACCCCAGGCTGCAGGCCAGTGCCAGGTTTCCAACCCCCGGCTGTGCCCCTCATCCTGCTCTCTTTTCCTTCCCCACGGGGCAAAATCCAATTAAACTAGCAAAACAAAAAAAAGTAGGTAGCTGAAATGATTCATCATAATAGCAGAAAAAAACAACACTCATTCCTGGGAAATGGGGTGTATGTTTTAAATCCAATTGCTCTAGTGTTGTTGATGTTGCTTTTTTTCTGAGACAGGGTTTCACCCCCATTGCCCAGGCTGGAGTGCAGCGGCATGCTCTTGCTCACTACAACCTCTGCCTCCTGGGCTCAAGCTATTCTCTTGCCTCAGCCTCCCAAGTAGCTGGGACTACAGGGACGCACCACCATACATGGCTAATTTTTGCATTTTTAGTAGAAACAAGGTTTCAACTTGTTAGCCAGGCTGGTCTGAACTCCTGGGCTCAAGTGACAGGACCACCTCGGCCTTCCAAAGTTCTGGGATTACAGGTGGGAGATGTTGAAATATGCATGCTTTGAATGAAGTGACCTTCCAAACAGGCTTTGTGTGAGAAATGTGGCTGTTTATTCACCTGGGTGCAGGTGGGCTAAGGCCGAAAAGGGCATTAGCAAAGGGCAGTGTGTTAGGAGTTGGTTTAATAGGTTTGGGTAGTTTTTGGGGGGTGGGGTGTTGCAGAGTAAGTTCAGTTACAGTGGTGGGGGGTAGGGGCAAAGGAGTATACACGACCACAAGTTCAGTTACAATGGCAGGGTTGGGTGAGAGGTATTTACATTATCATGAAGAACAGCTAAGATGGCAGGGCTAGGTGAGGGGCTTGCCTGGAGAAGCGATCAGGGATGCAGGCGGTGGGTGAGAGACGTCAGCCGAGGCAAACAGGACTTCAGACATTCAGGCTCCAGGATTGCGTATGGAGACCTGACAGGAGCCACTGAACCCAGCCTGCTCCAGTGCTTTAAACACTTTTTTTTTTTTTTTGAGATGGAGTTTCGCTCTTGTTACCCAGGCTGGAGTGCAATGGCACGATCTCTGCTCACCGCAACCTCGGCCTTCTGGGTTCAAGAAATTCTCCTGCCTCAGCCTCCCGAGTAGCTGGGACTACAGGCATACACCACCATGCCCAGCTAATTTTTGTATTTTTAGTAGAGACGGGCTTTTCACCCTGTTGACCAAGATGGTCTCGATCTCTTGACCTCGTGATCCACCCGCCTGGCCTCCCAAAGTGCTGGGATTATAGGCGTGAGCCACCGCGCCCGGCCTGTTTAAACCACTTTTAAGATTTTCTGCGGTCAGATGCTACATATGATTCTTTTTATTTTTTATTTTTGAGATGGAGTCTTACTCTGTAGCCCTGGCTGCAGTGCAGTGGCGTGATCTTGGCTCACTGCAACCTCCGCCTTCCGGGTATCAGTTCAAGCAATTCTCCTGCCTCAGCCTCCCAAGTAGCTGAGATTACAAGCACCAGCCACCGCGCCCAGCTAATTTTTGTATTTTTTAGTAGAGATGGAGTTTCACTGTGTTGGCCAGTCTGGTCTTGAACTCCTGACCTCATGATCTGCCCACCTCGGCCTCGCAAAGTGTTGGGATTACAGGCATGAGCCACCGCACCTGGCCACATATGATTCTTATCAGACCCCAACACTGGCCTTTGGGTTGGGGGTTTCCGCACCATAGTCCCTTCAGGGGTTGCCAGAGAGGTGTTACACCAGAAGGGTCCTGATGCAGACCCCAAGAGAGGGTTCTTGGATCTTGCACAAGACAGTATTCAGGGTGAGTCCACAGAGTAAAGTGAAAGCAAGTTTATTAGGAAAGCAAAGGAATGGAAGAAAGGCTACTCCATAGACAGAGCAGCCCCAAGGGCTGCTGGTCGCCCATTTTTATGGTTATTTCTTGATTAAATGCTAAACAAGGGGTGGATGATTCATGCCTCCCCTTTTAGACCATACAGGGTGACTTTATTTTTGTAAACTGTCATGGTGCTGGTGAGACTGTAGCAGTGAGGATGACCAGAGGTCACTCTTGTCCCCATCTTGGTTTTGGTGGGTTTTGGCCGGGTTCTTTACTGCAGCCTGCTTTATCAGCAAGATCTTTATGACCTGTATCTGGTGCGGAACTCCTGTCTCATTCTGTGACTTAGAATGCCTTAGCTGACATTGAGATACCACCTCACAGTTAGAATGGCGATTATTAAAAAATCTGGAGACAACAGATGCTGGAGAGGATGTGGAGAAATAGGAACACTTTTACACTGTTGGTGGGAGCGTAAATTAGTTCAACCATTGTGGAAGACAGTGTGGCGATTCCTCAAGGACCTCGAAATAGAAATTCCATTTGACCCAGGAATCTCATTACTGGATATATATCCAAAGGATTATAAATTTTTCTAGTATACAGACACATGAACACGTATGTTCCTTGTGGCATAGTTTACAACAGCAAATACTTGGAACCAACCCAAATGCCCATCGATGATAGACTGGACGGCGAAAATGTGGCACATATACACCATAGAATACTATGCAGCCATAAAAAAGGATGAGTTCATGTCCTTTGTAGGGACATGGATGAACCTGGAAACCATCATTCTCAGCAAACTGACACAAGAACAGAAAATCAAACAGTGCATGTTCTCACTCATAGGCAGGTGTTGAAAAATGAGAACACATGGACACAGGGAGGGGAGCATCACACACTGAGGTCTGTGGTGGGGGACTAGGGGAGGGACAGCGGGGAGTAGGGAGTTGGGGAGGGTTAACATGGGGAGAAATGCCAGATATAGGTGATGGGGATGGAGGCAGCAAACCACATTGCCATGTATGTACCTATGCAACAATCCTGGATGTTCTTCACATGTACCCCAGAACCTAAAATGAAATAAATAAATAAATATATATATATAAAAGAATGCCTTAACGGTCTCAGAATGCAGCCCTGTAGGGCTCAGCCTCATTTTACCCAGCCCCTAGTTAAGATGAAATTGCTCTGGTTCAAATGCCTCTGATAACTTCAGCCTCCAAAGTGCTGGGTTTACAGGCATGAGCCACCGTGCCCCACTGAGTTCCTTAATTTAATTTAGTTAATTTTTTTTTTTTTGAGACAGAATCTCAGTCTGTCGAATAGGCTAGAGTACAGTGGCATGATCTCGGCTCACTGCAACCTCCGCCTCCAGGGTTAAAGCAACTCTCATGCCTGAGCCTCCCAAGTAGCTGGGATGTGCAACTACATCCAGTTACTTTTTTTGTACTTTTTAGTAGAGATGGGGTTTCACTATGTTGGCCAGGCTGGTCTCAAACTCCTGAACTCAACTGATCTGCTCACCTTCCAAAGTGTTGAGATTACAGGTGTGAGCCATCACACCTGGCCGAGTGTCTTTTTTTTTTTGGAGATAGAGTCTCACTCTGTCACGCAGGCTGGAGTGCAGTGGCACCATCTTGGTTCACTGAAACCTCCGCCTCACCAGTTCAAGCAATTCTCCTGCCTCAGCCCCCTGAGTAGCTGGGATTACAGGTGCCACCATGCCCCGCTAACTTTTTGTGTTTTTAGTAGAGACGGGGTTTCACTGTGTTAGCCAGAATGGTCTCAATCTCCTGACCTCATGATCCGCCTGTCTTTGCCTCCCAAAGTGCTGGGATTACAGACGTG